CCACCCCTCTCACTCCTTTCTCCCCCTCTCCCCAAGGTTCCTGGGCCATGGAAAGCTTCCTCAAGCAGTTTCGACTGGGCTCCCCGGTGGCCTCAACCCAGTTCCTCACCAAATACTACGAGGATTAGCACCATCCATCATGGACCCACCTCTGCCCGAACCAAGAGGAGACCCCCGGACCCACCGAGGATGCACCCACCTCCTCCCAGCCCACATTCACACCAGAACCCCCAGCCCCTCCACTTCCCAAACCTGTGGGGCTGGGGGTGTATGTCTCTTTCCCTCCCGAGCAATGTCCTACCTCACCTTGGGTACCCCAAGAAGGGTGGCATCACCTTCTTCTTTTCCCCTCACCCCATTTCTAGCCTGACCCCCAGCATGTCCTGCCTGCACTTTGAGGGGGGGTCTTTAATGCCTGTAGTTTTAGAATAAAACATGGATGGAGCACACGGGGTGATGGGGGCTTCTTGCTGGTGGCAAGTGGGGGTGATGCTGGGCCAGCACTGGGTGAATTTGGCCACTTTGGGGCCCACATGGATGGAGCAGACCCCCTGCAGCTGGAGGTGGGGGGAGGATTTCCAGCAAGAACCTCATGCAGGTGGTACCAGGCATGGCCTGATGTCACCTGGGGGGCTCTGGGACAGGAGTGGGACCGTGGTGGTGGGTCGGGGGGTGTCCCTGGGCAGCAGGATTTGGGGTGGCAGCGTGGGAACTGGGCACTGCCCCGTCCCGACTCCAGCCCTGCCCTGCCTTTGCCCTCGCTCGCTGCTTCTCTTGGAAAGCAAAACCGAAATTAAAGCCCGTAAATCAGAAGAGCTCTGCCTACCCGGCCGCTTGGCCGGACCTCCCCTTTAATTAGCTCTTTAATTAGGCTTTCATCTAAGACTTTGGGTTTCTCTCAGGGCTCTTTGGGCTCGCCTGCCTGCGAGTCTCTCCTTGCAGCCTGGCTCCACTGGGACAAGGATTTTTGGCCCTGCTGGTGGCCAGGGCTGCATCTTGGGAGTCCTTTAGAACAAATTATGGGGGGCAAGACCCCGGGGAGGGGTGGGGGTGCTTTTCAGGCAGGGGAAACTGAGGCACGAGGGGATGAGTTGCTGTCGGCCACGCAGGGAGGTCAGGCCCCGTTCAGAGGGGATGAGGATGCTCCTGTTGCTGCATCTCACCCCTGCATCGGTCCCTGGGCTACCTGTTCCTGATGCAAGAGGGAGAAAATGGGTCTGTGTCATCCCCTTCTCACTCCCTGCATCCTTCTGGCTGCCTTCCCCAGCAGAGAAAGCAGCTTTCACTCCATGCTGGGGCGTGGGGGGGGGATTAAACGTGGCTGGGACTTTCCCTCCAGCAGGAAACGGCTGTTTACCTTGCAGGGGTTGAATCACCACGAGAAGGAGCATCTCATGGGTCCCTCAAAGCTCCACCAGCCTCCATGGGAAGGCTGAGGGATGCAAGGTGTGAAGGAGGATGCAGGAACCTGGGGAACACGCCGCTGGGTGAAGCTGCAGGACGGGGAAGGAAGGAGAGAAACCAAAAAAAGGAAGCCGGGTAACACGCCACAACCCGGGGAAAAAAATACAAAACACACACTGCCCGGCTTGCCATCGGCTCTAAAATTAGCAGCGGAGGAAATGACACTGTGAGATGTCATGGAAGTCTGCTAAAGTTGGATTTCTCCTTCTCTTTTTCTATACTTACCCTCCGTGGAGGGTGTAATTGGCCCGTTAGGTTAATGCGGAGGGACCGGTGTAAATGAAAGGTCACGCTTTGTTGACATCCTGCAGCCAAACTAGAGTCATCCTTTCCTCCCTGCCTTTAATTCCTTGTGGCTGGTGTGTTTATTTTCGGTGGAATGGGAGAGAAATGGCAATCGGATGTTTATCCTTCTAGGAAATTATCACCATCAGTCTTGGCTTTAATGTGAGCTGGAGAGGAGAGGAGTCGGACACACACCGCGGCTCCCTGCCCCCAGCCAGGCCCGCTCCCCCCAGGCACCACGAGCACAAACTGGTCCTTCTCCTCTGTGTGTTGCTGGTGGGGACAGGGATGGTGATGGGATGGGATGAGGATGAAGATGGGGATGGGATGGGTTGAGGATGAAGATGGGGATGGGATGGGATGAGGATGAGGATGGGGACAGGGATGGAGATGGGATGGGGATAGGATGGGATAGGGATGGGGTGAGGATGAAGATAGCGATGGGATGAGGATGGGGATGAGATAGGAAGAGGGATGGGAATAGGATGGGATGAGGATGAAGATGGGGATGAGATGGGCACAGGGATGGGGACGGGATGGGGATAGGATGGGATAAGGGTGGGATGAAGATGAAGATGGCGATGGGATGGGGATGAGGATGGGGATGAGATAGGAAGAGGGATGGGGATATGATGGGATGGGATGGGGATGGAAATGAGGATGGCGATGGGATGGGGATGAGATAGGAACAGGGATGGGATGGGATGGGATGGGATGGGATGGGGATGAGATAGGAACAGGGATGGGATGGGATGGGGATGAGATAGGAACAGGGATGGGATGGGGATGAGATAGGAACAGGGATGGAGATGGGATGGGATGAGGATGGAGATGGGACGGGGAAGAGATAGGAACAGGGATGGGATGGGATGGGATGGGATGGGATGGGATGGGATGGGATGGGATGGGATGGGGATGGGATGGGGATGAAGGTGGGGATGAGGATGAGATGGGGATGGGATAGGGATGAGATGGGGATGAGATAGGAACAGGGATAGGGATTGGGATGGGATGGGATGGGGATGGAAATGAAGATGGAGACGGGACAGGGATGAAGATGGGGATGGAGATGAGATGGGGATAAGGATGGGATAGGGGTGGGATGGGGATGTGATGGGGATGAAGATGAGAATGAGTTGGAGATGGGAATGGGAAGGAGATGGGGATAGAGATGAGGACGGGGTTGAGATAGGGACAGAGACGGGGATGAGGATGGGGATGGGATGGGCATGGAGACAGGACAGGGATGAAGATGGGGATAGAGATGAGGATGGGGGTTGAGATAAGGACAGAGATGGGGATGAGGATGGGGATGGGATGGGCATGGAGATGGGAATGGGGATGGGGATAGGGATGGTCTAGAGCAGGATTCTGGCCAGGTGGCTGCTGTGGGCACTGTGGTGGGACAATGCCCTGCCAGGACACAGGACGGGGCCCCGCTGGCCTTGCCCTGGGCACCTGGACACACGTGGGGCTGCAAACACATGGGGTGGCAGGAGCCCCAGCCAGGCCGCAGCCACAAGCTCTCACTTGGATGCACACAAGGCCCTCACGGCATGGAAAATATTAACTGTGGTTTTTTTGGTTCGCTTTTTTGATAATTTAGAAAGAAAGAAGGGGGAAAAAAAAAAAAAAAAAAAAAGGAGGAAGCGACGTAGAGTCACTTCACGCTGGTCCCACCCCCTTTATCTCTCCTTCCATTCGCTCACCATCAGTGAGAGAGAGAGAGAAAAGAGAAGCTGAGCCTCCCGCCGCCTAAATGTAGAAACTTTTGCTTCTAAATCAGTTTGTGATGGAAAGGAAATACGTCACGTCCCTGGGGAAGTGGCTGGTTTTCGGCAGCCACAACCCCAGCGCCGAGTGCTGCAATGGAACAGCCCGGCCCTGAAATAGCTCCACGCTCTGTTATTGTCACCGATATAATTTATTTTTTTTTCTTTCTTTCTCTGTCTACGCGTGTCATTTTTAGCATCCAGAGGAAGTTTTATTTGTATTTGTTACCTCGACTTTCCACTGTCGTGGCTTTTTATTTTTTTTCGTGTTTTTTTTTATTTTTTAATTGAAGGTCCAGGAAGGGGGCAGGAGAAAATAGAGTGGGGTGAGCTCAGGTGTGATGGTGGAAAGTGGTACCTACAGCACCACCAGCTTCTCCACCTGGATCTGCTGGGCATCCCGATGTGTGGGCATCACCCTGAAGAGCCTGAGGGAGCTGAAAATCCACAGGCCCCACAGGAACACACGATCCCAGGGATTTTGGGGAGGATCTGGCAGTGAGCAGAGCCCTGGGTATGGTTTTGGGATGGAGCCACCCCCCCCCAACACTCTTTTCTCTCCCCAAGTTGTGAGGTGTGTTTCCTCCCAGCTCCTTCCCAGAGCAAACCCATCCACTCGATGGGATGGATGAGGAAGAGGAAGACTCAGGGGGCTTTAAAAAAAATCATAGTTTGTGAAAATCCAGTGTTCCTGGTGAGCAACAGCAACTCCCAGCAGCACAGGAGCGGGGGGGGTGTTTCTTTCCAAAACTGGGCTGGAGGCCAGAGGAAGCCTGCACTAAACACAATCCCCAAGTCAACAGGGTGATAATTACCTATTTTTAATGATTATTGAAATAATTAGCCTAATGAGAAAAAGCCTCAGCCCCTGGCTCAAGGGGAGGCAGCCCCGGGTCCCATCCCCTGAGGATGGGGAGCAGGAGGCGCCTCCCCTCCAGCGGGAAAACCCCAGGAAAATGGGGATTTAGGGGCAGGGGATATTAGGGAAGGGGGACTGGGGGGGCACCCCTTGCACCCCCCAGCCTCGGTGGCACATGGGGACAATGCAGGGAGGTCCCAGCTCCCCGGGAGCAGAGCGATGCCAGGCAGCAGCCCCCCCCCTCGCAGAGGTACTTGCACAAGAAGGGATTAGCAGGATCAGCTGATGATGATCTAAGCGCATAACTATATCAACCTGTGAATTAATTAATGATATCTCTCCCTTCATAATGGCTCTATCTGCAGATCTTATGCCCTCCTCAAGCGCTCAGTGAATTAAGCCTCGCTCTACCCCCCTGGGGAAATGGGTCAGGATTGTTAATCCCCGGTGGGGACGCGGCGGCAGGACGCGGGGATAAACAATGCAGCCCGTTTTGGGTGCCAACGTGGGATTTTTTTTCTTTCCAGGTGATTTATTCTTTTTTTTTCCAGGTGATTTTTGTTATTTCCAGCATCCCCATGGCACCACCAAGCCACCGAGCTCCCCACATGGGGTGGTGGGTACCACTTGGGGGGATGCTCCGGGGCTGGGTGCTGAGCTGGGACCCCACAACCTCACATTGTGGACACACATCCCCCCCACCCCACCGATTTCCCCTCTGTGCCATGGGGCTGGGTATACACTGGTGGCCACAATGTGCCCCAGATGTGGTGGCCACCTCCCTGCCACTCGTGAGCCATGACCCGGGAGCTGGGCGAGCCCTGGGAGAGGCACCCTGGGCTGTGGCAGGAATTTAGGGCTCCTGAAGTAATAGGGGGGAGGAGGGGAAGGCTGTGTCCCCACCTCAGCGTGCCCTGCCAGCACCCGGAGGGGGGGGGACCAGCGAGGGGCACGCTCCTGGCATGACAGCTTCCATCACAACCTCACATTGTGGACACACATCCCCCCCACCCCACCGATTTCCCCTCTGTGCCATGGGGCTGGGTATACACTGGTGGCCACAATGTGC